AATCTAGGGATAGTTAGTAAACACATTTTATATTTTAATCTAGTAATAAAATGGCATTATTTTCATTCTTAGAAAAATCTGGAGAAAACCCAGAGGAAAGAATGGAAGGCTCCTAGGAAATACGGCTGAACCAGCAGGAAGCTAAGGATGGTTTCACCTCTTCTTGTGTTATGGCTGTAAGTTCCCACTCCTAACCCGATACTCAAGGCCCCTGGAAAAATAGCCTGGCTCCCCTATTTTGCTTCCATTATTCTCTGATACAAACTGGTTGCTAACCCCAGGTCAGGTCTCCACTCCCCCATCTCCCCCCAGTCCACTGAGCACATTTGGAGAATCCTGTCTCCACGTGGGCCTCGGCTCTATGTGACATCCCAGAAGATGTGTCCTCTTTGAGACTCTACCTCCATTTCCCAGCTGCAGGGCAGCTGCAATCTTGCCAGCACACGATGCTTTCACTGGCCACTCCACCCCCAATAGCTCTTCTCTGGAACTCCTGCAGCATTTAATGCTGTTTCATTTGGCACTTACCTTGCCCTGCTATTTCTGACATTCGATATGTTTAGATCTTATCTCCCCAGCTAAACTGCCTGCTCGTTGAAAGAAGAAACTAGATTCCTACCTTTCACTGCATAATCCCCTAAGGGGTCTGGCATGGTTGTTTTGTGTCATGAACCTCAGTACACAGCTTTCCATTTATCCCTATACGTTTAAGGACAAAAAGATAAAAGTGGAAGAGAAAAAGGGGGAAGGAAAAATTGTATAAAGACCACTTTGTATATTCTGGATATTAGTCCTTTGTCAGATGTATATTTTGCAAATATTTTCTCCCACTCTGTTGGTTGTCTTTTAGCTCTGTTAATTGTTTCTTTTGCTGTGCAGAAGCTTTTTAGTTTGATATAGTCCCATTTGTTTATTTTTCCTTTGGTTGCCCGTGCTTTTGGGGTCATATTCATGAAGTCTGTGCCCAGCCCTATTTGCTGAAGGGTTTCTCCTATGTTTTCTTTAATAAGTTTTATTGTTGCGGGGTGTATATTTAAATCCTTGATCCATTTTGAGTTGATTTTAGTACATGGTGAGAGATATGGGTCTAGTTTCAATCTCCTGCAAATGGATAACCAGTTATCCCAGCACCCTTTGCTGAAGAGGGAGTCCCGACCCCAGTGAATAGACTTGATGCCTTTGTCAAAGATCAAATGGCAGTAAGTGCGTGGGTTAATTTCAGGGTGCTCTAT